TGCAGTTACTGAAGCAGATTAGTTGAGATCAGTTGTTCCAAAGAGTTTTCCACCAACTCAATGTCGGACTCAGTCAGACAAAGGTCAAGCAGCTCGCCAAAGCGCTTTCGAAGATGTTCCTTTCGAGGGCGAATGCTTTCCTGGACCATTTCCATAGCCTTCTCAATTGGCACAATGCCCAGCCCGTCGTCATTGTCACAGCCAGTTGTTCCAGCAGTCACCGAGTTATTGCCTGGAGCAGCGCCAACAGCCGCCAAAGAAGTTGTCTCCGCTGGAACTATGATGAGCGAGTTCTTCGATTCACTCTTAAAATCTTCCTTTTTAAAAGTTTGCAGCCCTAAACCGATGCCGGCGTCTTCACTGTAGGGCTTTATCACCAAAGTTGTCTGCTGCAGTGGCCTGCCTTCTTCAAGCTTCAGGCTTTTCGGGTCAATTGGATCAGTGTCGTAAGATGCATCGAGAAATATATCACTAGCGAGATTATCAATGAGAATTGACGTATCAACAGGGGTTGAAGCGGGCGATTTGAGCAGATACTGTTGGCTGCTGCTCACTGAAGATAGCGATGACGGCGCTTTCAGTGGAGCCACTGAACCGATGCTAAGCGGTTGAACTTGCTGCAAAGACTGGCCAGTGTTCAGTGCGATGGGCGTCACAAGGTGACTGGTGCCAGCAGTGTTTGTCTGCACTGGCGCCAGTGTGATGGTGTTGTTGCCATTAATGGCCGTCAAAATGGCAGAGGCTGTCGAAGTGGAAGCAGCAACAGCGGCCGATGAGTTGTTGAAAGCCTCAGCTGAAGCAATACTTGGCAAAAATGAAGTTAACGAGGTAGGCTTGTTGATAGCAGAAGAAGCCACATTTGACATTTGTTGTGCGATTTTGACACTAGCTGAAGGTGTTTTGGGTTTCTGCTTAGATTTCGGCAGCTCAACTGTTTGAAATTCCAACTTGGCAACTTTACTCTTGACTGAGCTGTTGGAAGACTTGGAGTCTCGGTTTCGCTTTCGCGGAGACTTCGATTTGGCCTACAAATACAAAAATTAACATTACACAGCACATTGGCAAAGAGAACGACTACAAAAATACCTGAGATGAAGAAGTAGGTTGAACAGCAGTAGGCATAGACAGACTGGTGGAAGACAAATTGGCATTGCCACCGACATCCGGGGAAAGACTGGTGTTGGCCAAAGCCAAGGCCTGGGCCACAGGTTGTTGCGTTTTGGAAGGAATGAACACAAGCTGGTGGTTGGTGGTGGTGGTCTTCGGACCATTCACGACACTGGTTGTACTAGTAGCTGGGGTCGGATGCTGCTGAGAAGGAGCCATTATGCCGCCTGGAATGACTTCAGATTTAATCTTGATGTGGTGAGTCTGGGGAGGGCCACTGCCACCGCTGGCAGAAGTGGACGCAATAGTGGCCTTCGTGGTGCTGGTCGCATTCAGGTGAACCACATGCTGCAATGGCATTCGTTGAGCATTGGGCGAGCTCATGGACGTCAAGCACAGGTCACGTCGATTGGAGTCCAGCTTATGGCCCAGATGGTAGGGGAATTCGATTGCCTGCAAAAGAGTCATCAAATTGGTCATTTTTAAAATCGCACTTTTTCACTTTAGTTATCTCACCTCAATGCCTGTGTAGCGGAAGGTAAGTCGCACGCTTGAAGTGCATGGGTACATGCGAGCGTCAAAAGAACTCTCCAGGACAATTTCACTAATCATGTTGGGATTAGCTTTGTCACCACCCGCCTCACTGCCACTACCAGGAGATCCTTTGGAGCTACCGCCGTTTGAAGCATCCAAAGCAGGCGGCTCCTTGTTACTGGTGGAGCACTTTCCAGCCAAAGTAATTCGAGTGATACGAATGGCCGAACACTTGAAGTAAATATTGCGAGAATATTCATTGGTGTAGCAGCGTTCGTACTTGCAGCCAGTTTGCTTCTCCAGTGTGTTGGCTTTCCATTTCATAAACTCTGAAAACATAAAACTCGTGTTAATACATCTAAAAGTGGTCGTTAGGGCACAGTGTAAGTCAAGTTTACCTTCAAAAGATTTGAAATGATGGCGCACATACAAATCCTTAATTGGATTCGGCTGTTGCAGCAACTGATGATCACTCTTCAGGTGACTAAAGAACTCGGGCAAATCCTCAATGAATCGAGCACACAGCAAACAGTAACAGTTTCGAGTGCCAAGCAAATCATTGAGCTTGTGCACTGAACGCAGGTGACGCGTCACCGAAGAGGACGAGCAGAAAGACTTGGCATTATCACACAGCGGACAAACTGTCAAACGGCAGACCTCCTCCTTCATGGCCTTGGCCATCGACGGCGATTCAGGTGTTTCGAGGCTGGTGGACAAATTGCTGCTCTCACCGCTTGCGGCCACTCCGTTTGTCGGGCTGGGTGAGTGCGCCGATGAGGTAGAAGTGTTTGAGTTTGACAACTTTTTCTGCTGCTTTTTGGGCTTTGTACAAGAGGTGTTTGATGACTGTAAAGACAAATGGTTATATACAACTTAAAACCGTTAAACATGAATCATGATTACAAAGACACACTCACATTAAAATGTTCTAATTGTTTTGCAATAGCTTGACCATTGGCATTTCCCCCTTCACTTTTCGGGCATGGTTGACTGAAAGACGGGACTCCCGAGACACTCAAGTCGACATTATCTTCTTTAAGCGTCAACAAACGATCCGTTATGTCAACATTTGTTTCTCCGACAGGATGCCCAGCATTAGTTGTAGTAGTAGCCACAACACCGGTCAAACTCGAGGTAACAGTTGTCAATATCGGAGTGAGCAGATCGTCGCCATTGCAGCTAATACCAGCCAGATTAGCCGACTGAGCGACAATGTCATTCCCGTGAATCACGTCAAGAGAGCTGTTTGTGACGGCAGCAACCAACTGATCGGCCAAATCTTCAGTCAGGTCAGGACAGTCTGCAAAATTGATCGTCTCAAATTGGTGGTGTTGATGATGAGTGGAGAATAAATCCTGATGATGGTGCGCCGCCGGGTCTTGCAAAATTCGATTCTGTTGCTGGTGGTGATGGTCTTCATGATTAAGCGACGTCTGCTGCAAAACCCGGTCAGTAGCACAATCTGCGGCATGATTCAACTGATGACTAGGCCTTTCAGAATGATTTTGTCTATAAACAGCAAGAAAAGCACTATTAATGTCACCAAAAGTGTTATAAATAAAACAGTACCTGTTCAGGACTAGCACACCGTTCGCAGAAAACTGCGTGCTGGTGAGCTCATTCAGTGCAGAACTAGTGGAAACTGTAGTGATACTGGTCGGACAGCTGTTGGATGCGGGCACATCTATGGAGCTGACGAGACTGCTATTTGTGCAGCTGATATGGTCAAGACAATCATCTAACAGGTTATTGTATTGCGCCGGTGTTAGATGATCGGTGATTGAGGAATTGTCCCCCGACAGTCCAACGTGGTCTGAGGGCTCGTCAAGATCGTTGCTACTGAGCATTCCAAGAAGGTCCACATCTAACGCCTCGTAGTCATCTTCCTTGAGGGTGAATGACTGAAGCAGATGACTGCCTGATGCAGTGTCGAATTGGTCGAGAAAACCGCCACTCTCGCTAGACCCACTAATCGTATTGATGGGGTCGCTGTTGATTGAATTGAGAAAGCTACTACTCGAAGACGTTGTCAGAAGTGAATGCAAATCACTGTGGTGGTGGTGATGGTGATGATGATGATTCGTAATATGGCTGGAAGTTCCGTTGTGGCTGTGGTGCTGAGCATTGCGAGTATTTCCGTGACTTCCACTGGTGGAGTCCGCTGACAGGTGGTGAGCAAAGGAAGTGGAAGTGAGATCGTCCAGATTAAAGGTGGACATTAGGGGATCACCCGATGTGGAAGAGAGCATCATTGAGCCGATTGAGTTGATGCTACCATTGCTGACCATCGCCAGTGGTCCGTTGGCCATAAGCATTGTACCGCCATCAGACGCCGACACCAGTGCCATGCCATCGGGCACCGCCGTCGAGTAGTTTCCAAGAGAGGACGCATTAATGAGCGATTCCAGATTAATACTTTCAATGTTATTCATTGCTTCCAGCGCTGGCTGCCCTCACTTCTAGAGCCGAACCAATTCGGCAACTTTGGAATGAAGAGTCAATTTCTTCTGACCCTAACAGCTATTGACTTTTGTCAGGCGTCATTTTTTCAGAATATTGAAAGACAAAAAGGAGAGTATGATTTGTACTGCAGTTTTGTACTTAGTCGGTGGTCGTTGGTCATCGTCGTTTGTGTGTACACTTCATTTTCTCTCGGTAGAATAAAAATTAATGCGAATACTTGAAAACAGAAGTGCAGCAACAAAAAGAGGTGCAATGCTATCTATAAACAGAAGAAGCAAATGAAGAAAAACAGTTAGTCGTATTGTTCATTTTCACTTAATAATGAAAAAGGTCGAGGAGAAAAAGAGTGTCTGTGTTTAATGGGAAAATCGATGCCATGAGGGTGCGAGTGAAAAGGAAAAAGGAGCGAAATTGAGCCTTTCAGGCGACTGGATGAGAGAGAGAGAGTTGGCAGCAATACTCTACTCACAGTGCAAACGGGAGAATACGGAATAACACAACAGGAGAGAGAAAGATGGGAGCAAAGTGCAGTGGGAGCGATGAGGGGGCGATTGCCGAGGGGGGCAGTGGAACCAGAATCGAGGAGTGAGCGCTATGCGCGCAGAAAAATAAATTTATATGGCCCATTCACAGAGGACGTTTGTTTACGCGAGTGAGAATTGGTGTTTTCAAAGCGAACACTTGCTTGCACGTGCATTACACGGTTACGTCAGAGAGTGGTGTTGCGGCTCCGTAGAATCTTCTTTGCTCCGTGTTACCTCAGCAAGCGACCACCTGGACAAGTGCCTACTGTGACCACTGTTTGCTAGTTAAAGTCTGTAAGCTTCGGACTGGTGACGTTATTCTTTCAAGTTGCTAACAGTTGGTTTCATTTTCAGGACATCACTAGCAGCAGCATCATGGGCAAGGGATACAATAATTTCATGTCAAAGAAGCCCTTCCATCCGGCTTCAAAAGACAACATTAAACGCGTTTGGATGGCTGAACAGCGCTCAATTGATGAGAAGAAGAAAGAAGACGATATGCGCCTGCAGTATGAAAAGGAGCAGGATCTGTACAACAATCGACTTTTGGTTGCTGGCTCGGACTCCAAAGACAAACTGTCGTTGAATTTTATGTATGAAGCTCCAGCCGGGCTAAAACGACCAGAAAAGGAGATTGAAAACCCTGCAGAGCCGGAGTTTAAGTTTGAGTGGCAGCGCAATGCGCCTCGAGAGAGCTTCGCTAAAAACAACATGGACATTCGTGACCAGCCTTTTGGAATTCAAGTACGAAATGTCCGCTGCCTGAAGTGTCACAAATGGGGTCATGTCAACACTGATCGCGAGTGTCCACTATTTAATGCTGGCTCCCTGGTTGAACCTCAACAACCTCAGTCAGAGCCAGCTAAACCAAAAGACGGCAGCGACAAACCCCCGCAGGGAAAATCTGACCAGACTGAGCTGATTCGCAACATGAAAGATGAACAAGGACTTGCGTTGAAAAAATCGCTGTATGGCAGCTATGGAGCCAAGCGTTCAGACGGTGATGAGTCGAACCAGCAGATGCTTTCTGTCAAAGACCCCGAGGTTGCCTTTCTTGCCTCTCTCACGCCAAGAGACAAAAAGAAGTTGCTGAAAAAACTTCAAAAACTCACAAATGCCCAACGAGGCATCAAGGACGACCGAAAGGTGTCTAAAAAGAAAAAATCAAAGAAAAGTAAAGATAAAAAGTCAAAGAAGGATAAAAAGAGCGACAAACGTAGACATTCCGATGATAGCTCAGACTCTGGAGAAGAATCTGGGGATGAACAAAAAAGGTCATCTCCACCGACTAAAGAGTCGTCTGCGAGAAATGGTCGTCATCAACTGGATACTAAAAGTTCCCGATCTTCTAAGCATTCTGAGCATTCCCGTGATAAGCGTCACCACAGTCGTTCCCGATCACCTTCGTCGAAAAAGTCTCGTGATCATGTTTCTCGATCTGACCCTCCTCCGACCGACCAATCTACTCGCAGTCGACGTCGATCAGTTTCGCCAAGTTTGCGAAGATCGCCAATTGAAAGTGAACGACCCAACCGCCGTCCATCTCGCAGTCCTCCCAGCAGGCGTCACCGGTCTCGTTCGCCCGACACTCGCCATCGTCGTTCTGGTACTCGTTCTCCACCGCGAGGTGCCACCAACCGCTCCAGTGGCAGACACTCTCCTACGTATGAGCGAAAACCATACAAACGCTCTTGAGCGGCTGTGATTGAGGTCAGTGCGGTGGACAACTTGATTAGTCCTGTGCTGATCTTAAGTGCTCAATAAATTTTTGCATTTGATAAAAAATAACAAAATATTTCTATTTTTACTTTAGACATTTTTCATAAAAGTTTGCTGACATCATCATCAGGCTGAAAATGGCCCCATACTTTGGTTTAAAAATTCATCATAATCTTATTGTACCTGCTGATTCGTAAGAAAGCAAAGTAATTCTTTGAGGTAATTTTATTGTACCATCTGTTCATTGGAAATTGAAAAAAACTGCAACAACACATTGATAAAATGACTAAATATTTGATGAGATGACTGCGTTCCGGTGTGTGGCTGATATATCCGGTGGTGTTGCATTCGCTTAGTTGTGGTGCAAATTTTGTAATAACTCGAGAGCATCAAATGTGATGAGATTCAACAATAATAATAATAGTGGCTTTTAATGAAGAGGAGTGTGTGGTGGTGAGCTGGAAAAGATAGAAGAGGGTCTACTGCTGCTGAACAGCGGGCACCAGCTTGAGAAGAGTGACCTGAGGTGCTGCGGCATCGGCTGATCGTTTTCGACGGCCCAGAATGAGAATGGAGCCTCGCTTTTTGCCACCACTACTGATCACAGAGGGACCTCCGAATCCGCCGAAACCACCTCCCCAAACGATGACATTACCACCCCTGTGTGCTGCAGCGGGCGACAAGCTGATGCCCACCATCAAAATGGTACCGATGGCAAAGAGGGCGAGTAGTGTCTTAGTCATTGTAGTTTTGTGAGTGCTTGCAGGTAAGCTTGAAATGCTCTGAATGCTATTTGGAATATTGATCTTGTCTTTATATATCTAGTTGAGATGAAGAACTGTTTCACTGTTGCTTTTTATGGTTTTTCTCTTTTTCTCTTTTCAGCCAGTAATTGACCTGGGCAACATGTGACATTAGCTAATAATAATCACCAACTTGTACTTGTGGTCTTAAGCTGTTCGACTTTGACAACTGAAATCAATGATCCTCGGAAAATGGCATGCTAATTGCGTGGTTAAGTATGCGTCAATTATGGTCACCTCTTACGTAAGAAGTAGCGTTTTAAAAGGTGTTAGCTTGTGTGAGCAATTTAATTCAAGAATCAAGACAATGTCACAGTGTCGGTTTAAAAATTAAGTTTTGAAAAAATGATTGCATTATTGTTTTTATTCTACCCGTTTTCCTGTTTCCTGTCAAAATTCAATAAATTGAATAAAAAACAAGCTGTATATTTGATTTAAAAGTTTTGAAAAAGTTGACAAGCATTTTGGTTAGCAAACACAAAACAGTTACACATTGGAAAAGTAAACTGTATTTCACTAAGCTCAAGGCTGATTATGTAAGATTTTCTACAGGTAAATGATTGCTAAAACAGTTTCTCCGGTGCGACATATCATTGCNTTGTATATTTGATTTAAAAGTTTTGAAAAAAGTTGACAAGCATTTTGGTTAGCAAACACAAAACAGTTGCACATTGGAAAAGTGAACTGTATTTCACCAAGCTCAAGGCTGATTATGTAAGATTTTCTACAGGTAAATGATTGCTAAAACAGTTTCTCCGGTGCGACATATCATTGCACAAACTTTTAATTTTCATTAGCATATAAATGATTTGTCAATTAACCACGTTCAACGTTTTTTCAGACTATGTTTTATGTCAATAAATTGATTGCTTTCGTTGCTTTTTTAAAGCTTATGCAAAGTTTTAAAAAGCAAATTTTTGTTTGCACTTATGAATTGACGCACATAACTTTTATTAACTCAATTTTTAAATTAAAAAGCGGATGTGTGATAAAAATGGAGGTTGAAGTTCAAACAACACTAAAAATCTTTTATATTTGACTTAAGTTCCCCGAAAAAGTTTTTGGAATTGAATTAACTTTTGAGCTTAAGTTGAAATTTAGTTTTATTTGCAAACTCGTGATATTTAAAAAATTAAAAGTTTAAATATTTTTGCTCTAATAAAAGTGCTTTTCAAATAGTCTAAAAAGTTCCCGTTTGAATTTTTAATTACCACTTGAAAACTCCAAATTTTTTAGTTAATTATATTTTTTATTTCAATTTGTGAGCAATTAAACTCAGTTGACAGTTGACAGAATAAACCAAAATGTAATATTGAACAAAACTTGTGACATGTTGTAAAAGCACTTATCTGACAATGGCAATTCAAATTGTGATTTAAACATAACAAGCTGTTTATCGTTTGTCAAACGGAACTTGAATTTGATCTACATGTGGCAATAAATCACGTAAAGGCGTAAGCTACAAACTTAATCTGATCGGCAGCCATCTGTTCCTAACTAGTTGCAAATGAGATGAACTTTCATAATTTTAATAAAACTGATTTTAACGAGAAAGGTGTTTGCTGTGTATTGTCTAATTAGCGCATAAAAAGTTTTTACTTTTTTACTCAAAACTCTGCCTGATTGAATATTTTAAAAATATGTTTTAGTTGAATTTTAATCTTTTTTAATTTAACCTGTCATGTTTTGATCTACTTTTTTATAGGGATTTAAACAATGTTCACTATTAACAATATTGTTTTGCGTATTTTTCTTCCGTTTCTATTCTGGTACCTTCAAGACTTGGTTCTCACCATTCTTACTTGTCGGTTTAAAACTACAGGAAGCCTTATTAATCGTTGTTACATCAAATCAATAAGTTTTTGCTTTTTTCTTGTTTATCATGCTTCATTAATTAATTGAACTGACAACAAACGGCTCAATTGTAAAAAAATTCCCCAATATGTTAGCAAAAAGATCGACCATTGTGTCGGATCACTTTACAAGACACAAGGTACAATTGACCGCACAACAAAGATGATGCAGTGAAGCGTGAATAATGGAAACGTTACCCACTGATCGATTGTGTTTGTGTAATTAAAAAAAGGTAAAACTGTTTGAGATTAAAAGTTTGGTGAAACTTACATTTTAAAACTTAGTAAAGGTACAATGTTTGCTCTTGTTTGCTACTTTAGAAACTTGCTCATTGTTTTTTTGTGTGCTTAGCATCAGTATTCCTAACATTAGAGTTTTACAAATGTTGAAGTTTTTGAGATGTGATTTTGTTTTGATTGTAAACTTTTTTGTAAGTTTAAATTTTAGTGAAACAAATATAATTTGCAACTAGTGTTAAAATTTTTAAATAAAAACAGTTTTTAAAAATGAAAAGTATTGTCATTTTCAAAAAACTCTATTTTGAGCATTGTTCTTTTCAGAATCATTGAATTATGTTTGCTAAATTTATCTTACTTATTTTTTTATTAAAAATTGATATTTATTATCATTAGAAGTACGCAAACTTTGTCTTTTCTTCAAAGTGCACCAAACTTTTGAGAGAATTTAAAATTCTAGCCACCTCTTGAGCTCAAAGTGCCGTTCTAGTTTCTATCCTCTTCCTCCTCAACTCATTCGTCATTTCGCTCTTCTGCTTCCACACTCATCCTCTGAAGCTAATCTAATCCTGCCATTTGCTGGCATCTCTTCTATTTACCCTTCTCCTCAGTTTTCTTTCCCATCTCAACAGCTCGTCAGATCTTTGAGGCGAACAGCAGCAGGTCTGTTCGACGTCAGCCAACTATGCTCTACTTTATTCTCTCGCTCTCTTGCCACATCCGGCCAATTGCCACTTGTTCTTCTTTTGCCAGCTTGGATCATCTCGTTTGAATCTCATCTCGGCAATTTTTTTCTCGTCTATTCTCTTACAAATCATAAAACTCTCTAGTAAAAATTGTAATTTTCCGCCAGTGCACTTGAGTGATAACAAGGCAAGACAAGAGAGGTAAACAGGCAATTGAACCTGGCTAGAAAACCGTCTACGAACATGGCCGTGTTCGACTGATGTAATGGGGAAATGCCTAGCCACTGACTCTGCGTCGACTCAACCTCGTTAAGTGGCACCATTCCAAAGGAGGGTCTATATCTAGTGGTACTGATTCACTGCATCCACTCCTCAGCTGTAGTCCCTCCTTCCTCGCTTCTCTGCACTTTTCTGAAGACTACACTTTTCTTTATAAGTACGGTATTAACCAGCCGGTTGATCTCAGCCACAACTCTTCAGGTTTCCGCTTTTCACTTTCCCCATCTCCCTTCACACCTGCTTTCAAATTTCTCAGCGCGCACAAATTCCTTTCCGAATCAAATTACATTCATCATCGAATCAGCATCTTTCTGTTGCTTTAGTCGTTAGAACTTTTGAAAACTATCAGGAAATTGCAAAACCGCAACTTTGCTCAATACCAAATTCAAGATTTTCTACTTAAAATCTGCAATCCAAGAAACAATGTTTTCCAAAACACTTCTGAAACGAAGTTTGGGTGCCGACAACAATGTTTGGCTGACTTTGTCTGCGGTTTTGGTTTTGGCATGCACCGGAACTGCTCAGGTATGTTTAATTACAAATATTTTAATTTGTTGGTGCCCTGGTTTATTTCAATATATTTAAACTGTATATAACTTCATAAATCATCTTCTGATTAAATGAAATATATAGGTTAAAGTTTGTTTTTAAAAAAAACTAAATAATTTTGTTTGGAATGTGTCAGTGACCGGCTAGTGGATAAATCAGCATAGTTATATTCTTTACGAATGCAAGAAATGTCTATTTTGCTATTAAAATCACTTTAAACTATTTTGATAGAAGAGTTAGTGGTCTTTTATTGCTTTGGTAATTCGTGCCACTAAATAAAATAATGTTTGAAAAACTTTTTCGTTTTGAGCTGTCTTAGAACTTTACAATGCAATATCTAATTTCCATTTACTGTATTTTTGTCAATAAATAATTGCTATTTACGAGGTTGTGACGGAACGTGATCGACGAGTAATAAAAAAGTAGAAATCTAAATGAGTTAAGAATATTCTCAATGCTTGAAAAGCATGAATAATTTCGATTGAGTTAAGATTAAAGTGATGAAAGAGGAAAAGAATGACCGATTGAATGTCAATTAAGCGATTGACAGGCAAATGGACTTTGCGTATAGAGTTATTCAAGCAACTGGACTCTAATCCGATAAAGCTAAAAAATAAAAAATTTTATTTTTTTTATCCGATCACTTTAGATTAAAAGAATTTTTTAAATGTTTTAAAATGATTTTTGTTTGAGAAATTTTTAAATCTAACTTATTTAATAAAAATTTTACACTATTTTAATTTTTAAAAATTTTAATTTGGTTTTACCAGTTGCTCAGTTTGTTCTATTTATTAATTTGAATTAAAAAATTAAGCTAAGTTAATTTAATTGGTCAAGTTGGTCAAACAGAAACATTTTGCATATACCAATTTACAAGGGAACTTGATTGAGTAATATTGTTCAAAAAAGCTTGTTTTCAAAGCAAAGAGTGCTAAAAAGAATACCGAATAATATTTTTTAATATTTAATAAAAGTAACTGATTTTATTGAATATTTCGTGACACGACAATTATATTTGCGGCAAAAAAAGATTAAATAAAGGTAAAAAATAATAGATAAAATTTTATATTGCAAAAGTTGAGTGTGAAAATAGTTTTGATTGAATTTCTATTGTGAGAATTTAGATAATTAATTATTAACGCAAATCGTCATGTCAATTGAATGTATTTAATCATGGTAGGAGCATCAACAAAATTTTCCAGACAAATTAAAACTTGTACTTTAAATTTTAAATTATAATCAAAACTGCTATATATTTTATTATGTTTGAAAACAACTTTAAATCTAAAATAAAAATTTAAAACATATGTGATGATTAAAAAATTAGACTGTGACAAAAGTTTAAAATAAAAAATTTAAGTTTTATTTTTGTTTGATTTGTAGTGGCTGGTACTCGTGTACTACAAATTGTAATTTTTTTTGAAACAAAAATATATTGCAAATAATAAAAATATTTTTTAAGCGATACTTTTGAATAAATAGATTTAAAATATTTGCCAAAAATAAATAATTTAAGCTTTATTTTTAAAACGTGTTAAGTTTTTTGTTTGAAAATTTGAATAAATACTGTAGTTTAAAAATATTTTAGTTTGTTAGAGTTGTTTATTCGGTTTTAAACAGTTTTACTTTTAATATGTGACATTTTAAAAAAATTGTTTTATTAAATTTTTGTATTTTTAAACTTAAAAAATAAAAATATTTTGTATAAATGTTTGTGTGAAGATAGCAATTTGGACGTTCTAAAATATGTTTTAAAAAATACCATGTTTTAAAATTAAAATAGAGTGTGGTTAATCGTTAAAAATTTTGGGTGAAACAACACTTCAATGAGCGACAAAACGCCAGTTTACGAGTTTCCGGCCAAATCTTGAAGAATTCACACTAAACTTACTAACTGTACGTTATTTATTTATAGCTCTTTGAAGTGTGTCATGGGAAGATAATAATTTTCAAATTGACTAAACTACGTGATTTGGGCAGCTCAAAAGCCTAAAATCTTGTCGGCTCAGTGGACCGGCTTAATGGTTTGTCTGCTGGTCGATGGGTTGAATAAAATGCAGGGTATCTCATGTACAACACGCTGCCGTGTAGAAATGAGGGACTGTCATAAAACAAAAAACATAAAAATGTTGATGTTTTAGCTAAAACTTGGGCCTTTTCTTAACGAATCAGCAGTTTTGATGACTGAACCAAGCGACAATTTAATTCAATCAATTTATGAATATCAAAGTTTGAAGGGTTTTAATGAGTGTACGTGCACTATAAAAATAAAATCAATCAATAAAATTGCTTAAAAGAACGGAAGTTATATGTAAATGTTCAAATAATAAGTGCAAAGTTTTTAATGAATCAATTAAATTTAACCGTGTTAACATATTTCATTAATCAATTAGGTCAATTTTTACTCCAAATAAAAGTGTTATTAAATATTGACAACCTTTGATTTTTAAAACAATTAAAAACTGATTTTTAAAATTTTTTATTGAAAAACATTTGTTTTGTGGGCAAATACTGGTTAACATTGATTATACTTAATGCTAAGTTTTTATTGTAAGTAAATAAGGCTGATTAGATTGCAGTTCTGGTTAAAAATTGATTTATAAAATCATAATATTTTTCATGTTTGTTTGATGAAAGCACATTGTTTGTTTTTAATTAACAATACAAAAAAATGTCACGACATAGTGGTTGTCTAAATAAAAAATGGCAATTATAGTTCTTAGCTATTTTTTGAGAAAATATAATTTTTTGCTAACCATACTAAAATTAAAAAATTAACAATGTTTAAAACTTAGTATTACCATTTAACAAATGTAGATTTAATACCTGTAGCCAATATTTTTTAACCTTTAAAATTTAACAATTTTTTATTTTACAACAGTTGGTTGATTCAATTTGCATAGCATTTAATTTGTTAAACTGAATAATTTTTTAATTTGTAAAAAAAATCTAGCCAAGTTGCTTAAATAAGTTTATTACAAAAATCTTTGTTTTATCAAGTTTAAAAAATAATTAAAAAGTTGTACAAGTGTACAATTAAAAAATTTTTAATGAGAGTTTTGAAAATTATTAAAATGATTATAAATTGCATTCTATAAAAAAAAGATTATTTGGAGCAAAACAAAAATCAAATGTATAAACTTAAAAATTTTTAACAAACTAAATCCTGTTCTAATTTAAAAAATAGCTAGCTTTATTTTGGGTAAAAACAAAAATAATTATTTTCAAAAATATATTTTTATAAACAGTTAAAAACATTTTGCCATTTAACATAGCAAAGATTAAATAATTAAATTATACAAAATCAAATAAAAATAAGTGTTTATGTAAGTTACTGCGAAACTCTTTAGATTGCAAAAACATTGAAAAAGTTGTTTGTTATAACAAATGCAATTAATAAATAACAATCTTTGCTGTGTACAGAAAATATATCTGGATTGTTTCAAATTATAACTTTAACATTTTAAATTATTTTATATGGAACAACCTTTTAAAATGTAAATTATAAAGTTGCTTCTAAACTGCATAAAAATTTTAAATAATATATTGTGAACGACGTCAAAACGGTAGTATTAAAAACTAACGATGCAAATTTGCATTTTATCTATAAAAAATTATTAATATAAATTTTGATATTTGAACTAAGCCACAACAAGTATTTTTATAGATGATATTAAAAATAAGTGTGATTTGAATCAAAATAACTTCCTTATTCTAAAGACCATTCTGTTTCCAAAATAATTTCATTATGATTCCCGCAAAAACTAATCAAATTTGACACCTTTGACAAAACTTTTCAAATCTAACCGATAAAACTTTTTTCAAACCATATTTATAATTTTTTTACTTTTATTCAGAAAACTAGCAGTGTGTCATCTTCAGCGGAGACTACGGCTCCAGTTGCATTGGCCATTGTGCCAACAGAAAAAATGGACGCCTGGTTTGCTGCATCAGTCGACCGCTTGAACGGTGGCCAATTTGTGGAGTTGCTTGATCCGATAATGGACGGACAGCTTAGCAGGATTATGGAAGCAATTAAACGTAAATGTGAGTAGAAATCACAGTGTGGCTGTAATTGAATTAGAAAGAGAAAAGTTGTTTGCAAAACGATTAGTTCAAAGTGCAATGCTCAAGTGAACATGAGTAAACTGTTTTAGCAAAGTTCTCGCACATCAGCCTATTGAAACTCTAATTTTCTTTCAACAGCTCCGGAAAGTTTCAACCGTCTCGTCGCCGTTTCCGACATTCCCGCTCGCCAGTTTCTGAGGTTTGTTTCTATTCTAGCCTATTTGCCAAAGATAAATAAAGTTTTTTGCAGTATAGCTAACCAGTTCATTAGCGACCAAGTTCCGGTGAATAACAAAGTAAAGGATTATGTTATAGGCTCATTTAATTTTTGTTTTTAATCTCTAATTATAAAGTTTGATATTAAACAAGTGTTTTTACATGTAAAAAGTTTTGCAATCATTAAATTTAAACTTTGCGATTTTCTGAATAGAATTTAACAATTAAAAAATGCTACACATTTATAAAAAAACCAGTTTTTTATCACAATTATTAACATTTTTGAATTATCAGCATTTTAGACAACCTAAGTGGTGGCCAAGTTAGTGCAGCTTTTTCAAACTCTTTCCCGAGCACTTTTGGTCGACCACGACGTGCTTCATTAGACACAATGAGCGGACTGTCACTGGGATACTCAAAGAAAAGGTAATTCATACTAGTCAATTACACCTCATCACAGTAATTCATACCACCTCAATTTTCCATAAGTTTAACAAAACAAACAATTTTTTACCTTTATAGCCTGGACCCCATGAGCGGAGTCTCCTTCGGTGCACCTTCCAAGCGAAACTTTGATGAGATTGATCGAACTGGCTTCAGTGGCTTTGCCAAACGTCGCTCTGAATTTGATGAACTAGATCGTTCTGGCTTCTCTGGCTTTGCAAAACGTCGTTCTGAATTTGACGAGCTTGATCGCACTGGATTTTCTGGCTTTGCTAAAAGGCGCTCCAACGAGTTTGATGAACTGGACCGCAGCGGCTTCTCGGGTTTTGCCAAAAGGCGCTCTAACGAGTTTGACGAAATGGATCGAAGCGGATTCAGTGGTTTTGCCAAGCGCTTCAACTTTGACGAATTGGACCGCTACAGTGGATTCACCGGATTCATGCATAAGCGACGACTGAACCCGGTGGCGTCAATGGCCATGTCTCGCAGCAAGCAACAGGCTGCAGCTATGGAAGCATCCAAATCACAGCCGGAATCGGCTTCAGCAGTCAAGCAGCAGACCAAGGCTTGAAGGCTGCAAAGTCCTTCAACAAAAGTCTTTGTGAACCTCTTCTAGAGGTCTCCTAAACAGTGGTAAATTTCAACAATATAGAACTAATGACAAATCAAGTCAAACATCTTACTGTAGGACGTTTTTAAGTTCAGCTTTAAAAGTATATTCTAGAGCTTTTAAGATATTAAGGCAATATCCATCCTTTTCATTAGTTTTCAAAATTTTTGAGTTATATAGCTGATTTTTGTTTAGTTTATTTGACATTTGAAAAAACCTTCTGCTAAAAAGGCAAAATCGAAAGTTTTTTAATTTGTCAAAAATCTGTCAAACTTATTGTTTAACTTTTAAATTTGCACTTGTGCAAAATTTTTTTAAAACTTAACATTTTTTTCAATCTTAAGTCCAGTANGAGCTGATTTTTGTTTAGTTTATTTGACATTTGAAAAAACCTTGTGCTAAAAGGGCAAAATCGAAAGTTTTTTAATTTATCAAAAATCTGTCAAACTTATTGTTTAACTTTTAAATTTGCATTTGTGCAAAATTTTTTTAAAACTTAACATTTTTCTCAATCTTAAGTCCAGTATAACTCATTCTATTTGAATTTGAATATTGTCACATCACTCAAACTTTTAAGCTTCCACTTCATCAAATTGTTTGCACAGCATCTACATACTTTATCATACACACACAACGTTGCTACCAAATGAGAAATGCTGCTTGGAGTGGAGACTGTCGTAAACGCTGGGCCAAATAACACGTACACACACGCACGCACACACTGACACACAATCTGACCAAGACATGCAACAATCACATGACAAACATTGTGCTTTTTCAAGAGGTTTAAAATAAAGTTTTCCTTTCAAATACAAATGAACGACTACTATTTTAATGAAAGCAGAAAAGAGTGATTATAAAAATATGAAAACCAATACAAAAGTTACTTCCTTTTTAATAAGTTCGTTTCTTAAACAATAATAAATACAAAACCTACAAACAAAAAATCTACAGTGTAAATTCTAAACATATTGCAAACAAATACAAAGACTGCAACCACCACCACCAGCACGGGGTTGTAGGAATATTATACAATAAGTGAGTTTATATAAAAAGAATATAAAAGGGGTGCTCACTACTTCCACGCAGCGTTGAGTGATTTTCGTGCAGCAAGTGCCTTTGCTAAGTAGCTGAATGTTATGAGTGCAATGAGGACAGCAGCAATGAGAAGGAAATCAAAGTCGTCCTTGAGAATGTCAAATGTCTTGGAAGGAGTGATGCGGGCATAGAAGATGTCTACAAATATAACCGTGGTTACACCAATGAAAGTACTAAGGAAAAGCCTATAACTTACCTAGCCCATAAGCAAAGACTAGTGAGGTCGACTCAAGCGAGGTTGGTCCAGTTTGAATGCCGCGAACGCCGAAAATGGTCTTGTTGTAGTTGATCAGTGCTTCAGACGGAATGGGCAACTCTGGTACATAGGGAATCAAGCCCTCTTCGGCGTGCTCCTGTGTCGGCTTGATCGGGCGCCGTGGATCGAGGAACGCTCGGGGCAGCTCCAACAGGCCACCGGTCGGCAATGAAATGAGAATATGCTTATTGGTGATGCCCTTCTGGGTTTCAGTGTCGGTCATCAGGCCGATGCCAGTCGGGAAAATGAAGCTCGCCTGTTCGACAATCGGCAGCGCCAGTAGGTCACGACCAATAGAGCTGAAAGCCGTAGCGTTAACCTGCTCAAATCCTTCGTACAACTCAATAGAAGAAATCTCATTTCTACGCATCTTTTCATTGAAATACGAATACTGAAACAAAAAGCATGTTAGATATACCCACTCAACGCCAAGCAAAAACAACTTACAATGACCCAGTTCTCCGAATGGACAATTTGAATTGGTCCTCGAGCTCTTCGGTGCACAACAGAGTGCAGAATGTTTCCGTTTACCGCATCAAGCAGGTAGAGAGTGATAAGAGCTGGTAAAAAGGACAAGCAAACAAACATTACTTCTACAATGGCGGCTGTGAAAGAACGTAAACTTACGTTTCTCCTGCGAGTCAATTGACTCCCAGACGATAGACACCAAATTGGGATTAAGGTACTTGTACAGAACGTTCCGATCGCCCAGAACACGACCTTGCGAGTGAACGTGCTCATTGGCGCGCTTGAAAGTGACCATTAGATTGAGTATTTGAGGCGTGCCGGTGATTGGCAGCTGGAAACTCCACACTGGCTGCGCCTTTGGTCCTTCACTCGCATCTGACTTTGCAAAGCTGTAGCCAACAACGGCGTTCGATGAGCGATTAGCAATGAGCATGTAGTAATTTGCTGCCGACTGCTTAAACAGGCTGCGTGTGGTAGTCGTGTCAGGGTAGAGGTGGGCGCGATATTGAGTGTCCAGGTAGAGGATCGGTCTGCGGAATTCAGCGTCGTGAATTGACATAATTAACATTGCCTGACTGATGGCAAACGGCAGCTTCTTGAACTCAATGACTTTTCCTGTAAACGGATCAAATGAGTAGAGAATACTCTCTTTACTACTCTCAATAGACTCGGTGAGAAAGGTGCAAATCGCTGAGTGGGGGTAGTGAGCGCTGGTTCGCTGAACCCAAATAGGAAACTTTGGCTCGTCTCTGAAAACAAATTATAAAAATTAGACACCATAGTAATATAGAACGCTTTCGTTAGAATGGACTTACCCAATCAGTCTCAGAGTTGGCTCATACTTTGACCATATAATTCTTCCCGTCAGAGAGTCCATTGCAAACAACTTTCCGACACGCGTCCGTAGAGCAATGATCTTGTGAATGCCAAAGTAGTCTCGAACTAAATCTTCTTCCTCATCTTCACCTTCATCATCGGCAGAAAGTCCTGGTTCAAGAGGATCAAACAACCCCAAAGAAGAGTCCAATTCGCTTTCCACTTGTCGATTCAAGTTCCGGTGTGTGCTTTTGTGAAACATCCAATGCTGTAAAGATCGAGTCCAAGAAGAAAACTGACTGATTTGGGTGCAAATTCGTGTGATGAAAGAATTTAAAATGTTCGCCTTTCCCTTCTCAAGACTGTACTCTTGTTCAAGGCTTGCATCAGTTTCAGAGAGCGGCAGATCGAGCATTACAGACCCGATGATCTCTGCAAGTGCCTCCTCTCTTGCCCAGTTAATCTTTCCCGACAAGTTCAAGAGAATCAGTGTGCCATCAGAGGTTCCTAGAACCATTTTGTAGGTGTAGCGATGCTGAGAGCGGCCAGTGCGGGTGTTTAGTGCAGCAATTCGAATGGGAATCATCTCAAACTGGTCAATTGCCCATCGAGTGTCCAGACGCTTGACGAGTTTTCCACTGGAAGTAATTGGTGCAATTGAGCTCTTTGAGCCAAACTCCAGTAAGATCTGTTCAGTGGATAATGACGCAATTTCGGCAAAGTTCTTCAAACTGAAAACGACCAACTTTGCTGCAAAGACTCGTTCCTCGTTAAGTCCTTCTTTCGTTGAATCAGAGTATGGAATTGTTTGCTCTTTAGTGAACAGTACTGCTAGTCCAAACTCAAGCAAACTTGAATCCGGTCCGCCAGAAGCACTTGCGATTTCAGAGTTTATCAAAGGAACAACGGTCAGCTTGGTTGCTTTTGGGAGAACTTTAACAAGCTCAACAGTGGCGTCTGAAGAAAGTGATAAAAGAAGGAATCCATCGCCGCCAAGGTTAACAGCAAACAGAACGCCACTGGGTTGACTTTGCTTAGAAAGTGTTGTAGTTTTGTCCTCGACTTCGTTACTCTGATAAGGAAGTGCATCAATGGCAAGGAAACGAGGTGGCTGGTCAGACTTTAGACCGAACGATGAAAGAGGAACCCGTTTGAATTGCTTTGCCGTGTTCTTCGGGTCAAGCAACAAAATGTTCAAGTCAAGGCCATCAATGGAAGAACAAACGAGTGCTTTTGAAGCAGCTGTCTTGCCGAGAATTTGACAGGATGTCTGGGGGCTCAGCCAACGACCGGCTTGATGACGGCCAACTGACTCGAATGTGGCTGTTTTCAAACCGTACACAAACACTTCGATGATATACGTTGAATAACTGAGTTTGACGATTAAAAGTTGAGGTTCAGAGGTGGTTGGATCTTGAACGGCATTGTAGAGAAAAGTATAATCTCTAAAAGATAAAATGAATAAGTATAGGCTCAAATTGTACCCACAGGTAAATAACATACGAATCAGATTGCTTCTCCAACTCCACAAAGAACTCTGCCGGAAGATTGTGCTCAGCTACTAAAAGGCCATCCGGCATCCAGCAGCGAATATACCGTCCATGTCCATTTACTGATAAGACAGGGCATTTGAAGCCGTGAATACCTTCGAAAGTGCTGGTCAGGTAATTGAAGTCTGCCGTATTTGAGTCACTTTCAAGTGGATGACGCCAGTGAATAGAGCCATTTCTAAGGTAAAGCCCAGCAAGAACATTGCTGTGTGTTGAAACGATCAATGACTGGTGTTCTTGCCAGATACCTTGTAAATAGAAAACAAAAAAGTATATATCATCCGAACAAACTGTTACTTAATAATTCTTACTTGAACTTGGTTGAAGAATGTGTTTAACTCTTCCGACGAATTGCAACCGCCAGTCAAATTTATCGACTTGATCTTCGTACAGGGCACTTGTACAGGGTACAAGAGCTAAGGCCCCGGCAAAGAGCAGTATCAGGTGATGACGGTACATCAGAGTGAAATGTGACCGTCTTGAAGGCAAAGCTTGGAAGGACCAAAGCCACAAGCAAACCGATGATCCACGCAGTATCACAACTGAGCGATGAAGAAGCAATCCAGACTTGATGAGACTTTATGATAAGCAAGAGTATTGTACGGCACCAGAATTGATGAATGAAAATACCTCTTGCGGTTTCGGGAAAAACTTTCTTCTCGTCAGCACAAACATAGGCACTATTTTCACTGCACCGACAGGGAGCGAATGATGATCAGACTTTTTGTTGGCAATTTTTCTAGCACTAGATGGCAGAAAATTTGCGAAAAGTTGAAAAATTGAAACGTTTTTATTTTTTGAACTTCTAAAGTCTGCACAGTTTTGATCTTATTTTTTTGTAATTGTAATATGCGATTCTTCTCACTAATATCTCCCTTACCGATAATTACAGCTGCAATGCTCTAATCAAACATCAAAGTGTAATTTCAATTTCAATCCTCAATTGTCTCATAACTTTTTTTGCAACACAACTGTTTCGGTCTGTTTTCAGGACATTTAAACCGAAACAAATAGCTGTGAAACGCTATCCTTTTTATGAGGCCACCAAATGGTAAAGCAATTGGATCATCGTTAGTGCCTCAACGCTGACAAGTACTCGCATCAGACAATCTGTCGACCGAGCGGGCTTGGACAATTGAACACAATTGACAATATTAATCGAGCAATGTAAAAACGAGCAAAGTAAATAGTCTCTTATTGGCAATTTGGGACTGCTCCAACGCGCTGACATGAGCTGTGTGATTTTGATTCAAAAAGCCGACCAAAAAGAAAGAGGCTAGTCTCTCTCTCAGACGACTCAAATTTCAAACAGAAGCGCTTACTCGGCTAAAAGGGAGTCCTAGTGCACTTGTAGACTGATTTTGTCTGTGCTGATTTGTGACTTTTTCCTTTTTGATGTTTTTTCCTGTGACCGACTCTCATTTTAAATCGATGCCCTTTTCACATTTTTTTGCTTTTTAACTAGCAAATTATCTCCTAATCTGTCTAATTATTACCACACTTCTCTGCACATTATTTGTAATTGATGAGCCCTCACTTTAATGACTTTTGCAGCTGGTCACTGTCTTTTAAGTTTTCTTTTGATTGCCCTTGTCAAAAATCAAAACAGCTAGTAAAATAAAAGTACTTAGCGCTAATAGCCAATGTCTAAGGAAGTGTCGACAAATGGTACTCGTTTGATAAGGATAAAACAGAGTATAAATAATGCAAGCGACGTTTGTTTTAGCTTAGAAATTAACTTTAAAGTAAAAATAAAAAAATGTTTTATTTTTTGTTTTAAATTTAAAAAATGTTAACGATAAATTAATATCGTTTATTTTTCAGTTGTAAAATATCCTAGTCCTAGTCGCTACGCAATAATCTTTTGTTTGTATCAGTTTGCCCATCAAACTTGGGTAAATTGCCATTTGATGCACACAATAAAAAACAAGCAAATTACTTTGCCAATAACCAAACACAAATAGTGAATCGATTTCAGTGTTTTTCAATAGTGTTTTACAAAAAAACTTTTTTTATTGAAATATCATTACTTAAAATGATAAATTAAACTCGCATTTAAAAAACTGATAAATGTAAAAAATCAATGATAATTTGAACGCTACAAAAAACCAATCAATTTCCTGTTTTTTGAAAGACATTTTTGTAGTAAATGACAATGTAATTAGATGTTTTTCAACTTGTCACTGAATGCAACACAAAGGTATAAAAACATTAAAAAATATTTCTTGAAACTTTGTCACGCTGTTACAATAGGCCACAAACATCTACAGTTTAGCTACCATCTAAAGAAAAACAATTTAAAGTTGTATATTTACAGTCTCACAACAATCGATGATATTTTGGGCAAAGTTTACGATCTAGAACAATAAAAAGGTACATCTTGAATACATCTCACTTTCAGTAGAAATAAAAAGCTTGCTTTTAATTGTTCGACAACTGCAGCAGCTTTCTACAGTTCTTTCTACTAGACTTTGATTACCTCGATTTTTTGCCATTTACATTTTACAGAGCATCAAATGAGAATCTTTTGATACAGTATATAGAGGCAAGAAAAATAAAAGAACTGAAAAAGTCAGTTAGAAGGATTTATTGCACTCGTAGACCTGATCTGCTTTACTTTTAATTGAGTCCTTTAGACTGGTGATCTAAAATGAAAGGTGCAATAAAGCTAGATGATCACAAAGCAAGATGCTTCACCAATTCAAGTTAGAGTCTACATTTATTGGTTCAATTGCTTCACTGAAAAAAGTCATAAATTCCTTAAAACATTGAGATTTGCTAAAAGTATCTATAAACTTGGCATTTGAATATCACATGAAGATGATGCTCATCTCACCAAAAAGATTAAGAGAAATGATTAAGTGTACTTGGCAAACATGGAAACAATTGATTTTTTATTGTCTGATAAATGCAAACAGAAAAATTGACTTATTTAGCAACATGTTTAGTAAACCAAAAATGACCATTTTTAACAGTAAACATTTGCAGCTATACTCTAAAATGTTTTACATTTTTGCTAGTTTGCTTACATCTACCACACATAATATTCATTAATCTTTATTAAAACTTTTTTGACTGTGACTTTAGTTTTTCTAGTTTAATTTTTTTACTTTTAATCCCTTCTGTTTGTCATTTAATCTTTTATTTATTTATTTAAAATTATACAAGAAGCATTTAGTTTTTCTAAAGCCAA